TTTAAAGTATCATATATCTATATACAAACTAGTATAATCGACTCAAAATTGGGTTATACATTTATGTATATTTACGCTTTTCTTAAAAAAAAATTTAGTATACTTATATGTAGACTATACGCTTTTCTTTTTTTATTGAACTACGCAACGTCTTTAATGCCATTAACCTTACGATTATAAACAACACCTGTTATTTTTTGTCGTCTGTCCAATAATGTACACTTATACGCAGTTGTGACCTCACCAACCATACACACGTGTTTGCTAATTTAACGGATTAATACACCACTACTATTCGTATTACCCGAAAAATATAGCACCAAAAAACTGACCCATCCTTCACATATTTCATATGATCGTACTGGTATAACTCCCTGTAAAAAAATTTTTCCGAATATTTCCATATTTTTTGTAAAAACTCCGTGAATCTGCAAAATGATCAACAAAATCCAGACAAGCCGAATAATCTCCATGATTTAAGGTTATAAATTCCGTCAATATGCAACATTTATGGACAAAACACGGAATATAAAACACGGATCGACATTTTTTATAGGGATTTAATAGTAATGAATTATATGATAACGACAAGATAATAGAATATTCGAAATTCAGGCATCGATTAAAAGTTGCTCGACCTGAGTATCAATTGATGAGATTCAGTTGGTAGTCGTGACTTAAGATAGATACTTTGCCGGAAATTTTGAAATTTGCTTATATCGATATTGATACTATAAATATTTGCATTATGTAACCTCTGACTTGCGTTTGTGATCTATAAATTAGGAGTAACGGTAACAGTAACGGTTAACCATTTTTGAAAGAATCTTCATAAAATAATTACATATTTAGGTAACAATTGATCAAATGACCTTATGTGCGACCGAAATAAAAACCAACCTTATGAAAATTAACCTATTATATACATTGATTATAGACTTAAAAAATATCGACATCGATACATATCAATGACTATTAGATTTTTTGAAAGACTTTCTAATAATCTGAGCAGCCTTCTTTTAGATAATGACGAATACAATGTCATTATCGAAGTTGGTGAAGCTCCAAATCATCAAACATTTAAGGCACATTCTATTATCCTAAATTCTCGGTGCTCGTATTTTAAAAATTTATTAAGTAAAACTGCTTATGAAAATAATATAAAAACAATTAAAAATATCGATGTTCCTGCTAATGTATTTGAAATTATCATCAAGTAAGTAATAATAAACGATTTAGTAATTATGGTAAATCTTGATTTTTTTTTTAATCAGTTTAAATTATGTAGGTATATTTACACTGGCATTATTTCATTAGAAAACATAGACACTATTATTCTCCTTGACCTTTTAATTGCTTCAAATAACTTTGGCCTTGAAGAATTGGTTATGCATACTCAATTTTTCTTAATTGAGAATCAAGCTTCCTGGTTACATTTAAATTTTTCTCTTCTTTATCAATCTAATTTTAAATCTGAGTATTTTAAAGTTCCCAAACAATTTTGTACTAATATTATTATCAAATATCCTTCCATTATTTTTAATTCTAATAAGTTTATTCCTCTTTCTGAGGATTACCTAATTTTGATCTTGAAACTCAAAAATTTACAAATAGATGAAGGTTTAATTTGGGACTATATTATTAAATGGGGAATGACTCAGAATCCTTCTTTACCTCCTAACCCTGATCAATGGTCTGACGAAAACTTCTCCGTCATGAAAGATACTCTTAAAAATTGTCTTCCTCTAATCCGTTATCTTCAAATTTCTGTTAAAGATTTCTCTGATAAAGTTCGTCCTTTTCAAAAAATTCTTGATCCAACTTCATGGTCCGATATTGAAAAGAAATTTATGACTCCAAGTCAAGACGTTATTCCACCTCCTAATAATCTTTTACCAATATCTATACCTGCTCGAACTACTTATATACCTGAAATTAATGCTTCTGAATTAAGACTTCGTGGTGAATCTCACTTCGTTATGGGAAGATATAAAAATGCCCTTATAGATTTAACTAAATCTTTAGAAATTATTCCAAATAATTCTCATACATTATCAAGTCGAGGTGTAACTTATCAAATGTTGGATAAATATGAAGAAGCTCTTACTGATTTAAATAAATCATTGGAAATGGATCCAAATGATGCATTTACTTTAAGAAATCGTGGTGCTACTTATTATCTAATGGGTAAATATGATGAAGCACTTGTAGATTTAAATCAATCTTTGGAATTTGAACCTGATAATGCCTTTGCGCTGGATAATCGAGGTGCAACTTATTATATGATGAACAAACATAATGAAGCTCTTGCCGATTTAACTAAATCATTAGAACTTGAACCTGATGATGAATTTACACTGAGAGTTCGAGGTGCTACTTATCGGATGATGGAAAAATATGATGAAGCGATTGCTGATTTGACTAAATCATTAACCATTGGTCCAAATAGTACATTTGCATTGGGAAATAGAGGTTTAATTTATCTATTATTAGGAAAATTTGATGAAGCAATTATAGATTTAAACAAATCATTAGAAATTGAACCATACAATTCATGGACGATGAAAGTTCATAAAAAACTTATTTCTATAATGAAAAAACAACCAAATTATTTTAATACACAATAAGCAACTCTTCCTTAATATTTGTTGAATACCTTATAATTTTAGATTTAAATACGATTTTATAGTTGTCAATACTATTTTGATGGTTTTGTAATTCTTTAAGAGTAATGGGTTTAGATTGCAAATAAATGAATTTTGTTCTTGTAATATATTATAAGAGTATATCAACTTAAAATTCATTTGTCAAATAAACAGATCGCATGTTTTTCTTTTTTCTTTTTTTATTGCAAAATTTAGTGAAAACTTCAGCAAGAACAACTTTGAGTTTAAGGGCACCTTAAAATCCTACAAGCCTGCAGAATTCTAAAATGTCCTTAAACGTTGCAATTAACTAAGTCCTTACTGAAATAATTTTACTAAAATTTAAACTACTATAAAACGATTGTTATGTTTTTTTAAATCCTTAATGAAGATAATTTGGTATTATAGTACTTAATAAATTTTCGATTTTTGCTGCCATTTTTGCTGCCATTTTAGATTCGGTAATCTCGTAAAATTCTAAGATATCGAAATTTGTTGATTACTGAAATGTTTTAAATTTTTTAAGCTTTATACAATTGAAGAATTTTACAAGCATATAGAATTCGCAGAAACTTAAAATAACTTCTGCCTGAGTTATAACTTCAGGTAGTGTTCCGCACGTACCGGTTCCGGGAAAATTTTTTAAAGAACCGAAAAAATCGAGGTACTTGGATAATGTGTACCAGGTTTGTAACGCAGACAAAATTTTTTTAAAATTCGTTAATATTAGGGTTTATAAGTTATAGAGGAGCAGTTTATATAGTAAAATTGCCCAACGAAAACTTTTGTTAGATTAAAGGTGGTTTCTTATATGGATTTTTGAGTTATGTAGAACGTTTGTTTTGAATCTTCTTGATCGTGTTACGTTACACCTAATCTTGAAATCTGATTTGTAGTTCAGGATATCTGCGAAACAACATGGTACACATTATCCGGGTGCGACCAATGTAACTACCTTTTGGATATAAATTACTTGGCTTGTATTAAAAATCCAACGATAGTTAACAAAATTTTAGATAAGTATATGCGTGGATTCAAGGAATTGTGTTACGCTTAGGATAGAATCTTTGACTAATATTTATTTATTCATTTTATTAGGATCGACTTATGATTGATAAAAGGGCTTTAACAACGTTTTATGAGAAAACAATATTAACATATATTGATTTCGGATTTTTATTAAGATAAGTAAAACAAAAAAAAAATTGCGATTGTACTAATAATACTACCTAAGACTAACTCTATATTATTGTAATTATTTAGATATATTAACACGAAAGTAATTAAAGGGAAGTTGTTTTCAAACCTAAAGGAGCTCGACTTCTTCTTATCTTTGCCCATAGAAGCATTCCTTATATACATTTTTCTTTGCCCTGATAGTTCGAAACTTTTACTCGGTAGCTTCTAACACTGCATCCATTAGTTTCAAACTTTTGCACCTTAGTTACTAACTTTCCATCTTACTTACTTTAGTTATTAACTCTTCTACTGGTTATTATCCAACTCTAATAGTTTGAAACTATCGGTAAATCCAATTTCGAAACCCTCAATCGATGTGGCTTCCCATTTCCGTATCACAGACCCCAAAATTAAAGATACAAAATAAGAAACATGGAAATTTTTATTGAATTTCCATTTCGGGCATAACACCAACACGAGAAACCTAAGTGCAGCCAATTAACATGCGTAATTTGATTTCAACGGGAGATCTGAAATGGAACCGGAATCGGGCCCGAACCGGGGTCGGTTCCGGGACTAATCCCAGGTCTTCGGTTCTGTTGGCAGAACACTAACTTCAGGCGTAAAGTTTTATAAGTAATTTTAGATGAGCCAAAATTCGGACAAGTGCGTGGCAATATTATTGTAATTAGTGTTGGCAGGCGAAACTGTTTTTGGCAAATGGCGAAAGACGAAACCAGGCGAAACTCTGGCGAAATGGCGAAACTCTGGCGAAACCCTGGTAAAGTTGAAACCCCTGGGAAAGTCAAAACTCGTCGAAAATCAAATCCTCTAAGGCTTTAGAAAAGACTGAGCCATGTTAGTAAATCAAAATATTTTGTATGTGGCTATTAAGCACAGCATGTGTCTTACTTAAAAATGTACAAAAGCAATAAACAAAGTGATAACCTTTTGTTAAGATTTTTTCTTTTTAATATTTCATTGTTAAAAACTTTAATTAAATACTATGCATACGTATGTAAGTAGTTCTTTTAACACTAATATTACTGGCTGATGCTGTCTAGCTCTAAATCTTAGGGCATTGATTTGCAATTCCGTGTAATGTTTAAATCAAAACAAATTTACATCAAATGAAAAACGTAGCCTAAAATTAGGGTAAGGGCAGACTTGTGATGGGACGGGTTATTAGTACCCAAAAGATGGTTACATAAATGAGATCGTGTAGCCTGATTGGCTTTCTATATATCCGTGTATATGCATGTAGTGTACAAATAGAAATTGCCTATAATAAAATTACCAATTTTAAAAATTTTTATTGTAAAAAATATATATATTGTAACAAATATAATATGAATAATATATAATATTATATGGTGCAAGACATCTATACTCAACAGTTACACAAAGTGTTTCAATTTTTCAAATAGCTATAACTTTTTATCT